GCTGAGAACTGGCGACTTTGTAGTACAACTTTAGTACGCGGAGTAGCCGGGGAGCTGGAAGATCAGAACTGGCGACTTGGTAGTACAACGTTAGTACGCGGAGTAGCTGGGGAGTGGGAAGATGAGAACTGGCGACTTTGTAGTACAACTTTAGTACGCGGAGTATCTGGCGAGTTGGAAGATGAGAACTGGTGACTTTGTAGTACAACTTTAGTACGCGGACTAGCTGGGGAGCTGGAAGATGAGAACTGGCGACTTTGTAGGACAACTGTAGTACGCGGAGTAGCTGGGGAGCTGGAAGCTGAGAACTGGCGACTTTGTAGTGCAACTTTAGTACGCGGAGCAATCCGTGGAGCTGGAAGCTGAGAACTGGCGACTTTCTAGTACAACTTTAGTACGCGGAGTAGCTGGGGAGCTGGAAGCTGAGAACTGGCGACTTACTAGTACAACTTTAGTACGCGGAGCAATCTGTGGAGCTGGAAGCTGAGAACTGGCGACTTTGTAGTACAACTTTAGTACGCGGAGTAGCCGGGGAGCTGGAAGATCAGAACTGGCGACTTGGTAGTACAACGTTAGTACGCGGAGTAGCTGGGGAGTGGGAAGATGAGAACTGGCGACTTTGTAGTGCAACTTTAGTACGCGGAGTATCTGGCGAGTTGGAAGATGAGAGCTGGTGACTTTGTAGTGCAACTTTAGTACGCGGACTAGAAGATGACAACTGGCGACTTTGTAGTACAACTGTAGTGCGCGGAGTCGCTGGGGAGCTGGAAGCTGAGAGCTGGTGACTTTGTAGTACAACTTTAGTACGCGGAGCAAACTGTGGAGCTGGAAGCTGAGAACTGGCGACTTTGTAGTGCAACTTTAGTACGCGGAGTAGCTGTGGAGCTGGAAGCTGAAAACTGGCGAGTTTCTAGTACAACTTTAGTACGCGGAGCAATCTGTGGAGCTGGAAGCTGAGAACTGGCGACTTTGTAGTACAACTTTAGTACGCGGAGTAGCTGGGGAGCTGGAAGATGAGAACTGGCGACTTGGTAGTACAACTTTAGTACGCGGAGTAGCTGGGGAGTGGGAAGATGAGAACTGGCGACTTGGTAGTACAACTTGAGTACGCGGAGTATCTGGGGAGCTGGAAGATGAGCACTGGCGACTTTGTAGTACAACTGTAGTACGCGGAGCAGCTGGCGAGCTGGAAGATGAGAACTGGCGACTTGGTAGTACAACTTTAGTACGCGGAGTATCTGGGGAGTGGGAAGATGAGAACTGGTGGCTTGGTAGTACAATGACTTGGTAGTACAACTTTAGTACGCGGAGTATCCGGGGAGCTGGAAGATGAGAACTGGCGACTTGGTAGTACAACTTTAGTACGCGGAGCAATCTGCGGAGCTGGAAGATGAGAACTGGCGACTTTGTAGTACCACTTTAGTACGCTTCATTCCAGCTTGCTTTTTTCAGTGAGATTTCCTGGAGGCGTGCACGCTGCTTCTCCCCTTACCAGCAGCCCAAATGCTCACGACGATGAGCTGGGCTGTCACCGCTTGGCCGCCGGTGGGGGGTTTGGGAGGCCTGCGCGCTAGTTCGTTCACTATATGTACAGTGAAGACCTTCACCAGCAGCAGACATGGACATACACACACAGACAGGGACTCATACACACACACACACACATCACGCACAGAGACCCACGCACTGCCTCAACTTACTCGGACACACACACACACAGACAGAGACTCATATACACGCGGACATAGATACAGAGACCCACACACTACCTCAACTCACTCGACTTAACACTTCACACTGCGCACTTAACAGATAACTCGCACTCTGACTTCCTACGTGATGAAAAATGCTTTCGGGCCACTCGTCGTCTAGTTTCTTGCTCTGGACTCAATGACATTCGATCAAAGCTCGAAAGACCCGAGATAAAATCGTCTCCACAGAAGTGGGCAGACAACGACATAACCGACAGGTTGGGGGAGACAGGTTGGTTGCGCCTGCTGTCGACGTCCCTCGTCCCGCGGTGTTTTTCGGAAACGTGGCAGGTTCATGAGGTGGTCTCAGTGCTGAGTGGCCAAAAGCCACATGAACATGCAGACGAGGAAGAGATTGCCCCCCACGGCCGAGGCTGGGCACTGGGATGAAACACATTCAGGGGATCCCTTCGGGTTTTGGCCCTGGCCCAAAGTAGATGCCATCTACAGATATGGGGTCAAAGGATAAGCTGTAGGGACTGGCAGGTGGCATGGTCTAATTGGAGGATTTGGTTCCCACTGGAGTTTGAGCCATGGTCATAAGCCAAATATCTTCTGAGTTGGTGTCAGACGGCTCGCATAGCATGCGGAAGAGAGTGGTTTCTAGATGGAAGCATCAAAGCAAAGGCTACCGGGGACAGTCTGGAGGCACAAGAAGTTGAGTCTTCTTGTGAAATGCCAAGAGTCTGTGGGAGTTCGGAATAGAAATAGGTATAAAGACCCTTGTGAAAGACATATTGGATTAGCCCTTGTGAACGACCATCCAACATGAACATCTCCTGGGTCGGAGGAGGACCTGGAACCGTTGCTCTTTCAGTGTTGACAACAGACACTGCAGGTCATCCCAAGGATGAATTGCATGAAGAGCCAGTGGTGAAAACCCAGGACCCGATGACTTTCGGACGATGAGAGAGGAAGATGGATGGATATGATGGATATGGGCCATAAGGCATCTGTTTCTACTAGCTTCTTGTTACTACTAGTAAGGCACTTGTTACTAGTAGCGTGGCACCTGTTACTAGATCAGATTTTGCCGATCCTATGGATGGATGTCTTGCTCAGACGTCTTGCTTTGATCGCACACAATGGTTGACAACGCTTCTCGGAGATGCGACCTCGCGCGGGCGGTTT